CACACACACACACACACACACACACACACACACACACACACACACACACACTCTCTCTCTCTCTCTCTCTCTCTCTCTCCCGATCAGTTCTAGTGGAGGCAGACACAATAAACAATTACTATTGGATTCCATCCCTAAGCTAGCATTTTGTTGTAAATTTGGTAAAACTGACATCAGAACAACAACAACATGTTAAACAGACTTTCACATTACCTTTTTAGAAATATTTTAACCTCCTTATTGTTGCTGACGTTTTTTTTTCGGCCCTCCGAAGATCTTGAAAATGCGCAATACTCTTGATTTGACCGACAGAGATCAAATCCTAAAGAAATGGCTGTGTGTTGTTCTGAATGCTCCTCCCCATTCCAATCAAAGGACTTTGATTCAAAAACCCATCCCTTCAAAGTACAGCTTTGTTTTTTGGGGCCAAGTTAAACCGAAAATGTTAAGGCTCAGCTGCATTCTCAGTCTTGAAATTCAGTTTTCAGAATTACTTGCTAAATTATGAATCGTTTGGAAAGAAGAGAGCGGGGGAGGGGGGGGCTTAGGTGTTCATTTTGAGCGTTGTATTGCTTTTATAGATCTAGCATACATTTTCCATTTGCGAGAAGAAAAAAACCCCAACTCAACATCATAAAGTCATGACATACCCGCTAAGCTGTACCCCAAGGTATTGATGTGTCCATTTTTATCCAGCAGCGTGGCCATCTTGTATGTGAAGCCAACGCCGCTAAGGTAGAGCGTGTCCACGAATCCCTGCAGCGCCACGTCACACTTACTGAGGCGTGTGATGACGCCCCAGTCCTTCTGGCTGGCTCCGCCCACGTAGAGGGAGCTCCGGGGCTGGTACTTTCCGCCTGAAGGGCACATCACCTGCCGGTTACAGCAACAACAACAAAAAAACATCAACATGTAAGAAGGTCCACGCACTTACGGCCGAAAAACACTGGGATTATTGAACACTTTTTGTGCGTCAATGTTAAGACTTATTCGTCGTTGTCGTCGTCGTCATTTAGTGCCAGATCTGAAACCGACATTGACGATCTTGGTTCTCTACTCATTTCTCCACATGGATTCTCTCAAAAAAAAATTCTATTGTCTTGGTCTTTCCCCGTCACCCATCTTTTCAGGTTTTCCTTGTAAGTTGCCCCTGCTTCGTGTGCCTTCTATTATTCTTAATGTAACAGAAACTGTCGTTGTCTCTTCCCAATTATTTCTGTTAGTGAGCGCCCATATTATGGCATTCTTTCAGCACTACCTCATTTGAGGCCGTACTAGACATACAATGTGCCATTTTGCCATGACAGTGGACTTCGCGGAAATTTCCTTATTGAAAGAGAAAAAGGACAGTCTCATTCAAATTCAAGCTTCCAACCATAGCTTATCTGACAAGTTTCGAGCCGACTGTGTTACCTCTCCCAGAAAAGCCAAAGTGAAGATGAACTATTTATTCATCTTACTCGTGGAGATCTTTTTAGAAAGACAGCGTTTTATTTAGTGAATGAGTGAGAAAATAATGATTTTGAACGATTATACGTTATCTCTCCTCCTCCTTTTTTGTGCTTGTTGCTATGGTTCCGACACATTTTCTTTGATTTTTAGCCTAAAGCGGGTAAAACAAATAATAATTAGGGGATTTACAGCATACATCTGAAACATTTAAAAGTTGACATACACGTATTCCTCAAAACCACCCTTTAATGTTCCATTAAGGTCGACCATGGGAATGCACAAGGCTCATGACCTGTCTTGACTCCCCTCAAAGGACACCCGACATGTGACATGTCGAACCGGCATAGGCAGTAGGTAGTCACATTTCCTTTCGTCATCATGGATTCCTCTGATGAAGATACTTCGATTGGGTCAGCATTACTAACTACATACTTGGTTGGAGAATAGGCGTCATTGCAGGCGGCACAATGCCATAGCAGCTCCTCCCTCCTCTCCAGGATCCATGAAAGGGTCTGCCTGCTGATCGTGCCAGTTAACAGCTGGTAAGATATTCTTCTGGCTTTTCCACGCAGGTTGCTGTCCCTCCCCAACCCTCTAGAGACACCAGCTTCCCTTAGTCTATCCATTGTGTTTGAGAAGTGGTGCCTTCATCCTCTCTGTGGTCGTTCAACCATTTTGTCTATACTGCCATGACTATTGGTGGATCTAATTGCATGGTGTCGCCAATTTCAGCCTGGCCGGCTAGCTTATCAACACGTTCATTGCCTTGAGCTCCTGCATGACCAGGGCTAAAGATCCATACAATCTGTTTGAGTCTGCTGCCTTGTTGTAATGCCTCTCGCCAGTCTGCATTCATTATCATACAATGCACCAGTATTGCTAATACACACAAAGGAGAATAGAAAAAAGCACACCATGCAGTGTCGTGAACATTTTTTCTTGAGGAGCACAAGAAGAGAGTTTCAAAGAACTTTCTGCTCATTGATGACGCGTAAAGACGACAAACTGTTCTTCAACTATATAAGAATGTCATACAAAATTTAAGGACATAAGGGGAACTCAAGACACTAGATATAGTGCTACTGCATCTAAAGCCCGTAGGTTGTAATTGGCGGGATCCGCTCTCTGCAGAAGAAAAATTAGTCCATCTCGAGTTCACCTGTACTATCACACACCTCACAAAAAATGAGCACATTGACTTTTCAATACCCTCGGTTTTGGTTATCGTTGTGTAATAGAATCTAGTAGAATCTACCTTCCTATGTACTCTAAATCGTTGTGCCTACTGTCTTGTTTTCACGCGTGAGATGCGATGTGTGCCGGGTGTTGCGTGAAGTGTGCCTTGTGCTTGTGCCTTCCTTTGAAAAGTCGGCTAAAGAAACATAATTCAAGTGACGGGCTGAGTAATTTTCGAGACTCACGTGGAGCACGTGGAGACGTCTTAACAGCCGGGAGATGAAATCTACAAGCTTACACCGAAATGTGGGGGCAAGGTGGTGTTGCTGTCTCAAAATGAGCTATATGTAGACTAGGTTACTGTAAGTCATGTATCTTAATGATCCTGTGTATGCATTCAAAGAGCAGTTTTTAATATAGGGCAAATTTAAAAAAAAAAGAATTACTAGATACGATTTTTTGAAAAGGTAAACTCTACTTTTGTTTGGTCGCTGGCCTGCAGAAGTGCCACGCAAAGTATCGAGGGCACAGGGCGAGAATTTGTTTTTACGCAGACAGACGAAAGTGAACAAGCTTTTGGGCTTAGCTCTTGCTCTTTTGTCGTTGGATGAGTTCACGTAGAAAAACAACAACAACAAAGATTACCTGCAGGGCGTCGCCGTCGTTCATGCGGATCTGGCCCTCACTGCCTTTTACAAGAACGGTCAGGAAATACCACTCTCCGATCTTTTTGAAAAGGGAAAAAAGACAAAAGTCACAAAAGTAAACAAAATATGAACACAGTTTAGATCCATCCTTGCAAACACAGTTATTAGTATTATCCTCCCACCACAGCGCGGAGAGCTACACTACTTTTAAAATGTTTTCACTAAATGTTTTCAAACGTGCTTATGAGCAAAACAGAGGCAGAGAACCGAACTCGAGTCTTTGTAAACGTCATTAAAAAAAAGAAAACAGGTTTGG